ATTTTACATTACAAAAATATTTATCTTAATGAAAAGGGTAACACTAAATAATAAATAGTAACATAGATCACTCGTAATCTTGATTGAATCAAATATTCTCAACTAAATTGGAGTAAAGTTAATTATAAACTTTATTTGAATAGATTTCAGAATTTCTTTCAAGATATTTTAGAAATATTCATGGGTAAAGCCTTAAAATATTTGTGTGGAATTAATTATCTACCTCTTGCTATAGTTATGCCATATCTCTCTCTATCTATATATAAAGGCCTAATCAAATGAAAACTAATTAGTTTGTGGTAACCGTAAGATATAATATGAGCCAATCATTTTATAATATTAATTATATTACCTTAATTAATAGGTAAAATATGTTTTTAGTAAAATGATTAGGTATAATTTAAATATTTTCTTATTTAATAGTTATCAATCAAGAACTCGGTTTCCTTAATTATCTCAACAAAATTGATCTTATAGATTATCGTTTGTTGATTCTTCAAACCTTTGCTTCATCGTTTGAATCATACCATAAAATCAAAACCTTCTAACGAACTGAATAAGAAATGAAGTTATATACATACCTATCTCGTTCTTCCCATTCGTCTTCACAACTTGATGAACATTGTGTCACCCAGATGTCGACGATGCACCACAACACGATCTCATCAAAGACTTGATGATGCAGATCTCGCGGGAGATTTTGACAGTGCACCATAACATGATCTCGTCAAAGATTTCGATGATGTGCTAAAGCTGAGATCTTGCCAGAGACCTCGAATGCTTCACCACGACAGATATTGTTGTAGACCTCTACGGTGCACCACAATACGATCTCCTCAAAGATTTTGATGATGCGCTAAGCCCATATCTCGTCGGAGACCTAAAACGTGTATCACAGTCGTGTATCACATTGTGGTTGTGTGTGACCTAAAACTCAGATCACATCTGTTGTCAACCCATGTTCAAAACGTTATCACAGTGGTATCACAATGTGTATCATAATTGGTTTTGTGTCTTATTGTTATAAATTTTTGGATATCACAACGTGTATCATATTCGTTTTGTGTTTTACTGTTAGAAATTCTTGGCTGGAGAGAGAGGGGGGAGTGGAGAGAGATTTAAAAAAAAGCAATTTCCCCCTATATATTATCCGTAAATTTAAATTATTTGAAAATGAATGAATAATTACCAAAATTAATATGTTTAATAATAACCATTGATTATTAATAATGTGTGGTTGAGATTGGATCTCACAGTTATCACAAACAATCGAGTTCTCCCTTGATTGGACCCCTATATAATATATATATATATATATATATATATATATATTTATATATATAACTTAGACCCCATCTTGTGAAAGTGTAAGTAAGAAGCCTCTTACTCTAGTCCATAGGACTTAGTCTTTAGAAGCAGTCTNATATATATATATATATATATATATATATATATATATATATATATATATATATATATAGGAAAGGTTCATTTGAGAAATAAATAAGTGATCTTAGTCCTTCATACGATCAAGATCGGATTTGACTGGTCAATAAATATAACTTTGACTTGTAAAAAAAATTGCGGCTATACGAAAAATAGAGAAGTTAGTTTCGTAACTTTTACAAATAGGCGGCAAACGGGTTCATATATGAACATGTGATTCACATATGAAATATATGTTCATATATGAACTCGTGTAATTCACATGTGAAATATTTTAACTGATTCACACATGAACCCATGTGATTCACATATGAACTAATTAACTGATTCATATATGAACCCTTGCGATTCACATATAAACTAATTAACTTATTCATATATGAACATGTATGTTCATATATGAATCAATTAAATAATTCACATATGGACTAATTTGTGAGGGATCTACGAGAGATCTGGTCAAAAACCAGTTCACTCAGAGATCTCTCATTGCTCGGCGACGGATCAGCGAGAAAATTGGTTTTTGACGAATCTCTCGTTGATCACTCGCAGATCAGTAACAGATCAACGAGGGATTTGCCAAAAAACCAAATCCATCGCGGATCAGTGAAGGATCTGCGATGGATTTGGCAAAACCAGTTCCCTCGCAGATCAGCGACGGAACTAGTTTTTGGCCAATCCGTCGCTGATCTCTCGCTGATCCATGAGGGAACTTTTCCGTCGCTAATATCCATCACTGATACTCTATTTTCTAGTAATGAAACCTTAGTGTATGCTCTCTTAATATTCGCTTATGTTTCGGAATGCTGCCCTAAACCCTACAAGGGCTGCCCCCATTGACCCCTTGGACCTCGCTAGGGGAGTGGCTCCTTAAGCCGAAAGGCATCATCTAGTGATCCAAAGTTCTATTTCGTTTTTACAAATAGAAACTCCAAATCTCCATGCTTGTGTTATATCTTTACTAAGAACCCATATTCTTTTCATAACCAACTACACAAAATAGATCAATAATTTTACTAAAATCAGCAACATTTAAACATTGGACGGTCTACTATGACATCTTTTTATTTGGTAGCTTGCCGAAACTTTTTATAAACTTTTGATTTCAAGTGTATTATTTTCGTATAAATCGTTTTAAGTACATAATACTTTTGTGCTTATCTTTAATTGTCAAAATAAATGAGCTACTAACCCCGTTGGATTGTTCACCTTTAATAATCGCATCACTTATTAAACGATAGATCTTGGGTTTAGACCTACAAGATTCTTTTTCTATGTTTATATGCATTTTACGATGAACTCAGAGCCAATAAACTTATAATAATCAAATTTTAGAGATTGTATTAATTTAAACACTATTGAGCAAAACGTATACAACGTATGTGTGTGTATATATATATATATATATATATATATATATTAATTAACCATGAGCCAGGAACAAAACATCGTGCTGATCGTATACATATACAGTTAATAAATTTAGTCATTAATCCGTCGATGATAACATATTCCCTTCACGTTAGATTTGTGGAGATGTTGTTCCCATTTCTTCACTTTCCCAATATGTTCTTAATCAATTAAAAAGATAATATATTATATGTGCACGTTTTGTCATTTTGCATTTAAAGGTACAATTTACAGATATACGTGTTCTAATTTTTCAATATATAATAAAATCTACGTTGATTATGATGATAAAAATTACCACTATTAGATAAGAGAGTATTAACAATGAATGTTAGCAACGGAAAAAATCTGTTGTAGATCAGCAATGGATCAGCTACGGATTTGTCAAAAACTAGTTTCGTCGTTGATGTGCTAGGTATCATGTAAATTTTCTAAAACCATTACTTTGATTGATAAATACATTTGGTAGGTTTAAAGTAATATATTTTAATAACCGTAGTTGATGCTATTAGTTTGGGCTGTCATTGTTGGGCAGATATTAGGCTAAGTAAACAGGTTGAGAATGTGACTAGCATTGGTAGTTAGTTAGAATGCTTTAATTGTTAAAACGTATCTTAAATATGTCTGATTTACAACCGTTATGTTGCTGAAATTTCAACATATATAACCTCACCCGTTTTTGTTTTGATAAACCATAGGAACGATTTCAATCGCTTATGGATGAGTCACAGTCTAGTACCAACACCCCTCCACCTGATAAGGCATCTCTCTGAGAGTAGAGTGTCGGAGTACGGAAGAAGGGTCGCCTTTTTCGTTACGGGACCTCCCAGGATCTTTCTTATATTATGATTATGAATTTTAACATTAAACAATATAGATTGGTTAGTTTTAATTTGTTATTTTATGACTAGGTTTTGTATAAATAAATACGGGAATAGTGTAACTATAAACTATTTATTTTAAAATTAATAAAAATTAGCGACACAAAATCCGTCGCTAAAAGTCGCTCTCTAATCCGTCGTTGAAAGCTTCCCTCGTTAATCCGTCGCTGAAGGTTTCCCTCGCTAATCCGTCGCTGAAAGGTTCCCTCGCTAGTTTGTCACTGAAAGTGTCCGCGCTTCAAGTAAAGTAAACGAGTTAGGAAACCGAGTACCGTTGCTGAAAATATCTTCACTAATCCGTCGTTGAAAGTTTTCCTCGCTAATCCATCGCTGATATTTTTTCTCGCTGATCTGTTGCTGATCCATCACTAACTTACGTTGTCGATAACGTTACCTACGAGCCTTTGACCGACAAATTATACCTTTAATGACAGAGCAGCGGCAGAATTTTCGATCGTTGATACTCCTAATTTTTTTTAATGTACATTATTGTATTTTTCAAAAATCTTGTATTCCCTTCGCACCAATTTTGGATCGTCATTAGCGAATCTTTATTATTTTTATATTCCTTAAAAGGATTTTGTCGACATAATAAAATAGATGTGTGAGGTAGAGGCTGTTTACTAAATGCTTATTTGGTAAGTGTTTACCAAATAAATTTTCTTATCGGATCAACACAACAAGGGTCAAGAATCTTACCGGGTAAAAGCGATGAGAAGGATGAATAGTCTTACCCGGTTACTGAAGATTACGCCTCTTACCCAGATAAGCACTTACCCGGTAATTAAATTGTTGCATTCAACACAATTTGATGTACTAGAATCTTACACATCAAAATAAATTATAGTGTTAACTCCTATAGGTAACGCTTACCGAGTAATCATTTGGGTAAAATGCCCTCCATTATATTTAATTATCCAGCATTCTTTGAATAGTTCGATGTTCTTAAATTATACACCTACTCTGATTCATGCATATGCATTTTATTGGGTTCACAAAACCTATAAGGTTTTAAAAATATTATTACAAGTTTTTAATTCCACAAATTATGAAATTAAAGGACTAGGCAACTCTATGACACTTGTGACAGTGAGTTGCAACCCACTTGTTCGCATAAGTTTGAAGCTTTCTTTATCTCCTTCGCTCATCATATGCATCTTCTATGTTAAGAGTGTTGACTTTCTTTTTATCCATATTACCAGTTGACTTTCATTCCAACGGCTATAAATACCATCCCTCCTTGCTATGTCTCTCATCATCTCATTTACTACACACAACCCTTTGGCAGCTAAACACACCAGCAATGAAATCTTTGGTAGTAATGGAGGGTTCTTTCCTTACCAAAATGCTTATCCTGATGGTTCTCTTGTTAGCCACCTTCACCACCTTGGCACTAGGAGAAGGCTATGGGCGTGGCAAGAAAGGAACTCAGGTGGGCTTCTACAGGGCCACCTGTCCAAAGGTAGAATTCATAGTCCAATCAGCGGTTCGATCTGCTGTCAAAGCCAACCCCACAATCGCACCTGGGATACTAAGGATGTTCTTCCATGATTGTTTTGTCAAGGGTTGTGATGCATCGATTCTAATCAATGGCGCGTCTACTGAAAAGAGCGCTGGACCTAACTCCCTCTTGAGAGGCTTTGAAGTAATCGATGCTGCGAAGTCCCGACTTGAAGCTACATGCCCTGGAGTGGTATCTTGTGCTGATATTCTTGCCCTTGCTGCCCGTGATTCTGTGGTCCTGGTAATTAAATATTTTCTTAGCACAATATCTTGGGTTTATGCATTAAGAGCTACTCGTTAATCGGTTAACTATGTGGTTATTTATCATTTTCGCAACATCTTGCAGACCGGCGGACGTAGTTGGCAGGTGCCATTAGGCCGTAGAGATGGATTGGTATCCCGAGCATCTGATACTGCAAGCTTACCTGCGTTTAATGACCCTATTAGTGTTCAAATCAAAAAGTTTGCAGATAAAGGTCTTAACACACAAGATCTTGTTACTCTTGTTGGTAAGTAGCACACAAAAATATGCCATAACTAATACACAACATGCTACGACATTAACAATATATAAACTAAACTATGTAATTTTTCTTATACCAGGAGGACACACAATTGGAACAGCAGCTTGTGGAGTATTCAGCTACAGACTATATAATTTCAATAATACCAATGGACCCGACCCCGACATAAACCCAGCGTTCCTTCCCCAACTCCGAGCACTTTGTCCCAATGGTGGTGATGGGTCGAGGCGTGTGGACCTTGATACAGGCAGCGTTGATAGATTTGGCAATTCCTTCTATGAAAATTTGAGGAAGGGAAGAGGAGTTATTGAATCCGATGCGAAGCTATGGAGTGACCGTAGGACACAAAAGTTTGTACAAGGGTTTCTGGGAAGTGGGGGGCAACCTGCATTGAGATTCAACTACGAGTTTGGAAGAGCCATGGTGAAGATGGGTAATACTGAGGTCAAGACGGGGAGACAAGGAGAAATTCGTAGAGTTTGTACTGCAACCAATTGATGAGAATGTAGGTTTAATTCGATTCATAAGTTGTTAATAGCATCAACTTGAATTATGAGTGTGTTTGATATTGTGTGGTTTGTTCAATGTTCAGAATGGAACATGATCTTTTGGAATAAATTGTTAAATCGAGTGTTTTATTATTACTAGATATCCTTTTCTTGGTGACGTGAAAAGCATTCAAATTTTCCAGCGGATTTCCGGCAGAAATATCAGTAGATAATTTTTCAATTCTTTAGGAAAAACTAAAATATTTTCTTAATTTAATCAAGATTTTTTAAATAAACTGAGGCCGTATTCAGCCGGGAAAAAGAAAATCCGCCGGAAAATAATCATTGGCGCCTCTTTTTTCAGCAGCCTTTTCCGCCGGATATCCGCTAAAACTGTTTTTTCCGGACGGATAGAGCCACCGGAAATGTGAACCTGTTTGGTAGTGTAATTTGGTTCATTTGTTTATCAATGGTGGGTTTGAATGAAATAAATGAAATCATGAGTTTCATTCACGAAACTATGAAATATGAGTTTTTTCATTCATGAGACTATGAATTTTTTTTCATTCGTGAAACCATCAAATTATAAGTTTTGTTCATTCATTAAACTATGAAATGATGAGTTTTTTCATTCGCGAAACCATGAAATCATGAGTTTTTCATTCGCGAAACCATGAAATCAAATAGGTTATTAACCGAATTTTTGGATTTGATTTTAGTATTTTTCTTAAACATTTTTTAGGAAATAAATTAGATAATAGAAAGTTTATTTAGGAATTTCTAGTATTATTTTTGACGATTTTACCTTTATGACATCATTTCATTTAATAACCGTATTTAATGTTTTTTATTAACAAAAATAGGCAAAAATGATATGGGTCATTGACCATTGAAATCTTCGGTTAAAAATGGATTATGAAGTTTGTATTAATAAGTGAGTTTGTAAGTAAAACATCTCTCACCTTCTCTCTCTTTTTCTCTCTCTCTCTCTCTATATAGGCCTGTTCAAGGGAGAACTGAGTTGTTTGTAGTAACTGTGAGAACCAATATTAACCACAAATCAATAGATAAATTAGAAAATTTATAAATTTGGTAATTTTAAATTAAAATCTTAATGCAAGGATATTTTTGGTATTTTAAAACTCTTCTCTCTTCTCTCTCCGGCCACCGTCCTCCGGTGATACCACTGTGATACCTAAAAATATTGACTCTGTTAAACAAAAGATACATTGTGTGTCCACAATCACTGATCAATTCTTCATATCTTCATAATCATACATGGCAGATTCTTAGATATTAACTACCTATTTATATAGTCAAACTACAAAGACAAGTCAAAGTCAAACCTATAAGAAAAGTCAAACACGCTGACTTTTTACAATTATAGACTATATTAAACCTTTCAAGACGAATACAATTAATACTGATTTCTCAGTCCTAACATACATTATGATACCTAATCATATATAAGATGCATAGTGATACCACTGTTTTTACATCTTCGATCGACTACACAAACGACATCAATGTGATACCCAAGCACATATATGATGCATTGTGATACCATTGTAGTATCACCGGAGGACGGTGGCCGGAGAGAGAAGAGAGGAGGGAGGAAAGTTTTAAAATACCAAAAATATCCTTGCATTAATATTTTAATTCAAAATTGCCAAAATTATAAATTTCCTAATTTATCTATTGATTTGTGGTTAATATTGGTTCTCACAGTTACCACAAACTAATTAGTTCTCATTTGATTAGGCCCCTATATATATATATATGTATGTATATATAAGACAATAATTAAATAAAAACCGTAAAAAAGTTGAGGACTGTGGGGACTAATCTCGATCATTAAAAGATTGTAATCAAAGACCACTAAAAATAATAGCATTTTTATAATATTATTGAAAATATTGGAAGTTTGAGGGTAAATTTGTAAATTAAGAGCCAAAACGGCATTAAGATCTAAACCCATGTCCTCAAACAAGAGAAACAAGAATTGATGAAGGCTAAACAATCGGCGTTAGAGAAAATCGAAGAGCTAAAATGCGAGATCTTTAGGTCGAAATACGATAAGAAGAACTTGGATTGTATTGTTGCTAGGAATGCTGAACTCGAGATTAGGTTTCCAGATAATAACACGATCTAATTTCATCAGCGACAGAAGGACAAGAAGCCGATGCTGAATTATCGAAATTGAAACAAGTGGTGGAACGATTAAAGAAGAGCAAATCAGAAAAAAAAAAACAAAATCCCAGTTATTGAGGAGACGAACTTACTATTGGAATGTTTGAACAAAGGCACGGAGAGACTGAAGCTCCTGTTACTACCTGCATATCTCATTGGAGACGAAAACCAGCACGTATCTTCACTAGAGTCTGATCATAATCCGCTCGTTTTCCCGGATCTATGAGCATTGTATAAGCATAGTGCACTTTCATAAACTCATCGGCCGATGAGTCACAACTTTGACATCTGGATGAAAAACTCTCGCCAACGTACTGTACGCTGCTTTGACTTCTCGCGTATTAGCTCCGATTTGAATCCAGAGCACTTCGTACAGAGAAGAAGGATTTGGATTGCGGGACGATCTAATGGGCTCGGTTGATGTCCTTCTCCTCTCGGTAGTGGCGTAAGTAGCGAAAATCGGAGCTCTTCCAAACCTGATCGAACTTGAGGCCGACTGTGATGATGGATGTGAATTGAATATGAAATTGAGGGAGGTAAAGAGGGAAGATGAAGGTGATTATAGACATAAACTATTGACTTCATTAGGTGAAATAGATTCTACATCAAATTTGTGTTTGATTTCATATGGTGAATTGAGATATAGATGGACATTATGTTCTGAATCTCATTAGGTGAAATAACATATTTATGAAAATTGTGGTTTATTTCATGAGGTAAAATATGGTGAATCGTATGTTTCATATGGTGAATTTGTATGTTCATTTAATGAATCTTATGCTCTTTTTTAATTAAAAATAACTTTCAATTAAAACCATATGAACAAAATCAAATTAAGGCTTAGATATGTTCCCAAGATTCTCAACGTTTACAATTTGTGTTGGCTTTTCCAACGAAAACCAAGATGTATGTTGTCCAACCAAACCTCAGACTCTTTCTTACCGACCTATTAATATAAATGGTCGAGAGTCAAAAAGAGATTCTAGCCAAACACTATTTATCATGACAGGAGGTTATGCTCATAAGGCTATATTTTTTTTATTAAAGATTCCATTATTCAGATATCCAGAATTCCGATCAAAAGAACTTTCTAGTTCACTACAAAAAGGATGATCATTGTCAATCTCAAAAATATGATTTCTAGAAAATGAATCAAATTTATTAATTGTGTCATGAAGGCCCTATTCTATGACAATTCTTAACTTCCCTTCTGTGTTGGTGCCTATATATGTGCGTGTATATATAGGGGGTCATTCAAGGGAGAACTAGTAATTTGTGATAATTGTGAGATCCAATCTCAACCATACATCAATGGTTTAATTAGAAAACTAATAATTTTGGTAATTTGACTTAAATTTTTTAATTCAAGGGCATTTTAGGTATTTTAAAAATATTATATATTCTCTTTTCTCTCTTCGTCGAACTTTATTCCGCCAAACACATGATGCACACTGTGATACGCTTCATAAAATAACAAAAAAACACACAGTGTGATACACTTAGTAAAACAACATTACTTGATATATTGTGTTATACTTCGTAAAACAACAAAAATATATTATGATACACTTCGTATAACGACAAAAATACACTATGATAGACACTATGATACCAGATCTAGTTGATGAATACAACTATGATACCATTATGATACCACCGTGTGACCACTGTATTACACTCGACGTTACATCTCCAAAGGGATCTAGGTTACATCCAAAAACTTTACATCTTCTGCTTTACATCTCTGACGATATCCGAGTTACGTCTCCTACAAGATCGGGTTACGTGCCCGATCTAAAATGAGATCTGAACAAAAACTAGAAACCGAAACCGATCTGGATGTGCAGAAACTAGATCTCTTGGGATATGAAAAATCGAAACTGATTTGGGTTGCTCAACAGGGAGTAGTCGGACCGGTTAAGGTGAGAGTTGAGAAGATGATGGCCGATGGTTAGAGATGGATTGAGAATAAGAAGCAATGGTTGTTGGTCCCAAAAGGGTCTACAAGAATACTAAACAGTTTGTAGAAGGGGGGGGGGGATGAATACAAACACAATTTTCAAATTTAAAATATATA